GATCGCACTTCATATTGAAAGATTTATGTAATAACACTCGTTAATAAAAAGACAAACAAAATAAATTATAACAATTAAGGAGCCGATGTAAATAGCTTTAAATAAATGAAGCGAACAGTTTGAGTATCACTGTAGTTATGACACTTAATAAACGCTGTGACAAGAATTACTAGAAGAAGTAAACAAAAAGAGTAGAACAAATGTGCAAAAACAAAATGAATTCATGTAATGTGGAACGATTTTCCGTCATCCCTTGTCAAATTTGGTTTGGATACAAACCGGTTTCGGCGTTGTGCCATCTTCAGTGTCACGAAAAATGACACTGAAGATGGCACAACGCCGAAACAGGTTTGTCTTCAAACCAAATTTGACAAGGGATGACGGAAAATCGTTCCACATTACATCACACTCCTTCCCTGTCGGAAACACCGACAACGAAAATGAGAAAATGAATTCAGTTAACTACAAAGGATACAACAACAATGATAGCAACAAATGACTCGGCAAGATTAGAATGTATGGTAGTGAAATTTAATTAAATTTAGTTTAATATAAAACACAATAACTTTCACTTAGCTTCAATTATTTCACACTAAGATGCTCATAAGCACTTTTTATCGCTACTTTAACTCAGAATTAGCACAATAAACTTAGCAAATAGAAAGCCAAAATCAGAGCACAATATAATTACAACCTCACAGCTTGACGTTTGCAAAGTCAGTGTAGTCATAAAGTGGGTGGTGCCACGCCCAATTTCCAAAAGTCTATAGCAGTCTTATTTATTGTTAAGAGATTGTTGTAACTATTAACTTGGAGTAAATTAGCGTCCTCAGTTACTGAAATATCGGAGTTTTCGGATGTCTGAAATTTACCGTTATACGGGAAGTGGGTGTAATTTTAGTGCGATTTGAATAAGTTTCAACGAATTTCTTTTTTGTACTAAGGTTATTGAGTGCACCGAGTTTGGTAGAAATTGATGAATCGGTTACCGAGATACACATTTGTGGTCATAAGGGGGCGGCGCCACGCCCATTGTCCAAAAATGTATAATAATATAATCTTCTGCTAAGTGTAATTATCGATTTTGAGTCAAGTAGCTTCAGTAGTTACCGATTTAGCGCAGTTTTCGTTATTCTGTAAATTACCGTTATAAGGGAGGTGGGCGTGGTTATTGCTCGATTTCAAAGATTTTCAACAGATTTCTTAGCTAGGCCCTAGGCAAGGCTCGTAACGGTGAAGTGGCTATTGAGATACAGCATTTCATCATAAGTGGGCGGCATCACACCCATTTTTCAAAAATTTCATGATAATACTATTTTTTTACTAAAATTCTGCTTCGCACACTAATTTTCAACAGTTTGGATCCAATATTTACTGAAATATCGTAGTTTTTGCATTTTTCGAAAATACCGTTATATGGGAAGTGGGCGTGGTTGTAGTCCGATTTCGCCGATTTTTCAGTACCAACCTACCTCGGATAAAGGGAAACCTACATACATACCGAATTTTGTTCAGATATCTCAATTTTCACTCGAGTTATCGTGTACAAGGACGGACGGACATACAGATATGGCTTAATTGACTTCTCTATTCATTCTGAGCATTTGTATATACATTTGTCTATATCTATCTCGATTCGTTTTGGCTGTTACAAACAACCGTTATGTGAACAAAGTTAATATACCCTTGTGCACAAGTGCGCTCGGGTATAAAAAGCATCAAAACTTTAGTAACGAAAATTTATGCACAACTCGCAGTTATTCACAATCAAGAGTCGGTCTTAAAGGACGAAGTGCATATCCGAACTCGTCGACCTAAATATGTTTTACAAAAACGGAGTCCGTTCTTGTCTTTTTCTTAAAAAGCTTTTGTGGACTTATGGTAACTGAATATAACTAAATATTTCACGAAAATGATCCTAAGATAAGTGTAATTAGCAGAGATCGAAAATAACCGTCAGCAAGTGTCCCATATGGTGTTTACCACTGACACAAGCACTCGTCTCTCAAGCAAAGAGTGTTTCTCTCAAAAATGAAGACCAAGGTAAATTTAAAAATTCAACTAATATAAGGGCCAAGGTGAAGGGGAATATGTAATGTAGAAATTGATAAACATAAAGATGATAAAGATAAATATGGAGAAAAGATGAGGATGAGTAAAGATGAAAATAAAGGAGGAAAGATTAAAATAAAGGTAATTATAAAGAAAATTATATAGAGTCACACAGACTCAACTTGGGAACTATTTCGGGATTTTCGGTATTCTCGGGACTTATCGATATAATGATCGGTATTTTTATCGATTTTGTTATCGATATTTTTATCGGGTTTGTTATCGATATTTAAAACGATTTCGTTATCGATAATGTTATCGACTTTGTTATCGTTATTGTTATCGATTTGGGTATCGACTTTATTTTCGATATTTTGATCGATTTTGTTATCGATTTTTTAATCGATTTCGTTATCGATAATTTTATCGATTTTGTTATCGGTATTGTTATCGATTTTGTTATCTATATTGTTATCGATATTGTTATCGATTTGGGTTTCGATTTTGTTATAGATATTTTTATCGATTTTGTTATCGATCTGAGTATCGATTTGGGTATCGACTTTATTTTCGATATTTTAATCGATTTTGTTATCGATTTTTTAATCGATTTTGTTATCGATAATTTTAAAGTAGTCTCGAGAATCCCGAAATAGCCCAAAAATCCCGAAGTAGTCCGAAGATCCCGAAAATCCTGAAGAAGTCTCGAAAATTCCGAATTAGAGACGCTGATCCCGAAAATCTCAAAGTATTATCGAAAATTACGAATTAGTCCCGAGAATCCCGAAATAGCCCAAAAATCCCGAAGTAGTCCCGAAGATTCTGAAAATCCTGAAGAAGTCTCGAAAATTCCGAATTAGTGCCGCGGATCCCGAAAATCTCAAAGTAGTCACGAAAATCCCGAATTAGGTCTGAGAATCCCGAAATAGCCCAAAAATCCCGAAATAGTCCCGAAGATTCCGAAAATTCTGAAGAAGTCTCGAAAATTCCGAATTAGTGCCGCGGATCCCGAAAATCTCAAAGTAGTATCGGAAATCCCGAATTAGTCCCGAGAATCCCGAAATAGCCCAAAAATCCCGAAGTGGTCCCGAAGATTCCGAAAATCCTGAAGAAGTCTCGAAAATCCCAAAATAGTCCAAAAATCTCGAAATAGACTGAAAATCTTGAAGTAGTCCCGAAGATTCCGAAAAAGTCTCGAAAGTCTCGAATTACTCCCAAATCAAGATTTTCGTGGAACTGGAAGTTGGAAGATACTTAAATATCTTATTAGCGTCGCATAACAAAATTATTGTTTAATTGAAAAATTACAAATCAAATTGATTTGCTCTACAAACCAAATCAAAAATTTGTATTTCTTATTTGGTTGAAAAATCAAATCACAAATAAATTTAATTTTTTATTTGGTCAACAAACTAAATCATAATAATAATTTCTTAATTCTCTTTCAACAGCAAATTTGATATGTTTCTACGTACTTCTAAAACTTATTTTTCTTCTTCCAGCGATAAGTGTCCGTGTCCAACAGCAACGGAAATTATATGCAAAATAACCCTTTCCCACTGAGAGGAGCACACATCTACAAAAAATAAACCGCCTGTTCTGTTTTGTGGGTTATTTTTTCCTTTAAATAGTGACGGTTATTTTGGGACACTTTTAAAGTGTTGACGGTTATTTTCGGCCTCTGGTAATTAGTAATTTTTATCCTATGAATCCCTAATTATCATTAAGTTTCCTGTTTTATTTAATTACTGAGTAGAAAAACACATAAAATAATTTTGTCCGGTTTTACTATGCAAATACTCCTCTGTGGCACGTGCAATTTTTTGAGCATTGTGGCTAAGGAGTTCATCAATATTTACTCAAAATTGATATATACAATGGTTCTTAAGAAAAAAATGGATTTTTCATAAAATTTTAGGAAAGTGGGCGAGGCACCGCCCACTTATATCATATATGCGTATCTCAAAAACTACTCGATCGATCTCGACCAAATTTGATATACACATTGTACGTGGCGTACTTAAGCACCATGTTAAATTTTTTTTAAAGCGGACACGTGCTCCAATCGTTATGTGATTTCAAAAAAATCAAGGCTAGCTACATATGTATATTTCTGGGGGAGTAATTTTTGTCCGATTTAAAAAATATTCAACACCCTCCTTAAAGAGGCCAAGCAAAATGTATATATCAAATTTGATCGAGATCGGTCAAGTACTTTTTGATATACGCGTATATGGTATAATTGGGCGGTGCCACGTCCACTTTCCTAAAATTTTATGCAAAATAAATGTTTTGCTTAAGAGCCATTGTATACATATATCAATTTAGAGTAAATATTGATGATCTCCTTAGCCACACTGCGCAAAAAATCTGCTCGTCACACACAAATAAATTCAAGGCCGGAATTTGGCTTAAATTGCATAACTTCGACAATTTTCATGCAATTCCATTAAGTGAGGTATCATTTTATTCGAAAATAAATATTATTTTGGATAAATACCTCCACATATTTGACAACTTTTATAGAAATTTTTGAAATTAGTGATAATCAAAGTTGAAAAAATGAAGAAAAATAGAGGCTCATTAAAATTTAACCGATGAAAACTCCCAACAAGCTAAGTCTAACTATATATGTATTGTTATACATCGTTTTAAAGGTCTATAAATCCCCTTTTCAAAACCGATTTTTAAAATCGGATAGAAAATAGTCAAGCTATTAATAGATAAGTACGAAAATAACGGTGTTTTTTGTATAAAAAATGGAGGGTTCAGGAACTATACGGGGCCCATTTTCATGTTGTACTCGACCATACCTACAACCTACACTAGATTTTGTTTCGGGTGTATTTCCTGACTTTTTTTTGTAGCACCGTGTTATTGCTTAAAGTTTAAGTTTTTATGTGATGTCTACGCATATTTAAATAAGTATAAATATTGAATTCACTTCCTCACCAAGGGTGTGCTAAGGCTTGCTTGCAGGTGTAACGTTTTTCCACGTTTACGCACATTAAATTTTGTATAAAATGTTTTGCTGACTCGCTTATTTCATCCCAGTACGGTGAGTCGAACTCAAACTCTCCTGTGAAAATAAACGAAATCGTTATTAAGATAGAAATATTAGGTATGAATGATATCAGCTGTTCGTCTGAGTGAGAATACTTATTTTAAAGTTGACATAAACGGAAAAGAGTATAGTGGATAATATATAAATAATAAATTGAAGTATTTTAAGTACCTTTTAAAATTTGGGCAAATAAGTTGGCATCATTTTCATCATAAAACGGTGGATAGCCACAGAGTAATATATATGATATAACTCCTATGCTCCAAACATCGACTGCTTTTCCATACGGTTTTTGTGCCAAGACTTCTGGAGCTACGTAACCAGGAGTACCACATGCTGTAGCCATTATACCTGAATCCTCCATTTTCGACAAACCAAAATCGCTTATCATAATTTTACTACCGTCATCCGGGCTGTAGTAAAGAAGGTTTTCTGGCTACAAGAAGTTTCGGAAAATAAAAAATAAACATAGTGCCATAAAAAACAGTTTTTCATAAAAATACAATCGCCGTTCGGAGTGGGCGTAAAACTGTAGGTCCCTCCCCTTTGAGTGACAACCAGCGTTGCCGTTTTGGTCCAATTGGACCAAAATTGGTATCTTCATTCTCCTTTGGTAGTTTGGTTGGTTTGATGAAGCTTTTGGTAGGAAAAAATGTTTTGAAAATACAACCAAATTGAGCATTCAAATTTGTTCACTTTGCTCACACGTATAAGATTTCTTTGTTTATTTTTCTATATTTTATTAAGCAGCCAATTATCTGCAAACAAAAACCTCAAAGCAATCTGCAAAGTGTGAGTATATGCAAATTGAAACAAATTTGGAAATTATTTTATTGAAATGCATAGAATGTTTGAGTTTGTTCTTTCACATACAAAAAAAAGCGTTTGATATTAATTGAATTAATAATTGCGTTTGTTTACTCATTTCCAATAAAAGTTTTACGAATTTTCATGTTTTGGCGTTTTCGTACGCAAAAACTTGCAAAGTAGGGGAAATTGAGAGAGCGGAAAATGACAGTTGAAGTTGCAAGTTTTTACTGGATTTTACTGGATAAATTTTTACTTGTAAGAATTTGCCAGTACGAAAACAGCTGATCGCATGTTGCTGGATGAAATTTAAACTATTAAGGAAACTGTTTGTGGGTTTTTATTGTTGAAATTCACAAACTAAACCTATTTAAATATAAAATATATTGTTTTTTAGGAAATTCCTGCGAATAAACAACAAATTTATCAGCTGTTCATGAAACTTGCAAATTATTACTGGAATAGCGTTCGCGTACTTTTTTGTAAATTTTGTCTATGAGAGCGAATTCTTAGAAATAAAGTTACTGGAGAGTTGCTGGCAAGTTACTGGATAATTTTTAAACAAACACAACTAATCTCAAAGGTATTTAAAATTTTAACCGACCTCACAAAAAGGAGGAAGGTTATCAATTCGTCGGAATATTTTTATTTATTTTTTTTTTATATTTTTTATTTTTTATATATGTTACCGTATAACTTTGGACCACGTTAACCGATTTTTATAATTCTTTTTTTAAAGGAAGGGTGTTATCTCACAGGTGGTCCCATTCTAATTTGGTTTAAATCCGATCTGTGGACCATGAAGAGATTCACGATAGTCTTCAATTTTTATATTGAGAATTGAAGTCGGTTTTGTTTTTTGCTTAAAAATTACTTGTTTACAAAAGTTTTTTATACAATACAATGAATGGTTAACCAATACTATAAACAATATTGTGTGTATTTTTAATTTTTATGCTAATTCGTGTAGCTAAAAACCTCGTAAATTCAAGAATTTTCGTTTTAATGATGAAACAAATTTTGGTAGTTGGGAAACTGATGTGGTAGTCGTTTTGGTACCTAAAAATATTGTCAAGTGGCAATACTGGTGACAACATCAAGGCACACGTCACAAATTGGAGGAGAAGCTTCGGCCGCCAAACACTCAAATATTGTGTAGGCGCCAATCTATTATTATTATTATAACAACTGGCTATCATTTTATTGCATTTCAGTATTATTATTATAATAAAAGTAATGCAGGTAGGACACAATATACTCTACCACATCATATTTATGTTCCCTGGTAGTAGTTAAGTCAATTGAAATGCAATGAGCTTTATAATTGGTGTGGGAATAGGGTGGGTATTCTCAGCAATGCCTTGACTAATGATTTTGGCGTTTGGCGTTTTAACACCAACCGGGTACACTAGTTGCATATTGCCATTTCCAACGGCCGCGAACCGTACGTTCGTATGATTTTATATTGTATAATATGTATTTATTTATTGAATATTTCTTTCGAAATTAACAATAAGTTTTCAAATCTTACAAACTACCTTTAAATTTA